GATTGGTTTCACAGGTCGGCGCAACATCGAGGGCCGAAGGGCCTGTATTGCGCTGTAATGTTCTATGTTCTATGTTCCTGAGCAAGTGGTGGATGTGGGCACAATTACAATGTTTAAAAGATATTTGGACAAGTACATGAACGTGAAAGGTCTGGAGGGACATGGGCCAGGACCGGACAGGTGGGACTAGTTTAGTTTGGGATTATGTTCGGTATAGGCTGGTTGGACTGAATGGCCTGTTTCGGTGCCATATGACCCTATGACAAGCTCATGGTGATAAAAGTGGACCCTAACCCTATCACATTTTTGTCTGAAAGAAGTGTGAAAAGCACAAGACTGTTTAATATTTTCATTTCTGATCTCCCATGGGCATAACAAAAGACAGATCTCACTGTTCAGACAAGCAAGCGTAGAGGATAATTGGGAATTTTAAATTATACATTCTGTCATTACTTTTGATACATCCATTATAAATTCCAATACTTACACTTACAATGGAAAAAGGTGACAAATACAAGTGACAAGTTTGTAACATAGGTAATGGTACAGAATATAAAAACAATTGTTAAAAGTTCTTCCGTAATGTGTATAAACTATTGAATATGGTGAGTAAACCATGCAATTTTTTTGTATTTGTACTGTAACAATATAAATAAAGGCTTCAGTCTCTGTGGTGATTTCAACAGAAACATGAAGCTCTTTGAAGAGGGCAAGGAGAAAGGCTGGAGCGGCAAGTAAGGCAGGGAATGTCTGAAGTTTTACAAAGGAAATTCAGAAGCTTCCAGAGAATTTGGCAGTGGTTTACAAGATCTGATCAACATTAGTGGGCCAGTTACAACCACTGGAATATTGAGAAAAGAGATGAAGAGAAATATATTAAGCATATAAGTATTGTACAGGTATTCTAGGGAACTTTACAGATTGTGAACTGACTTAAAAAAAACACAAAACATTGAGTAGGATCAAAACTAGAGTTGGCTGAGGAAGTCTCAATGAAATAAACATTCAAATTAACAAACAGGAAGCTGTGCAGTAACTAGAAGGTAAATCATTTTTGAAAGATTGTTTAATACTCCAATTTATTTCTAGGAAATGTGCTGCTTTATAAAAGTCTACGTAACTGCAAGCACAGCACTTACATCACAGAAGCAACTTGCAAGGTACCAGCCTCCTTAGAATTGCAGTAATGTTCAGCACACTCGCAGATAAGACGCAGTGTTCTTACTGTAGTAATATGAAACAACAGTATTATAAATTTTATTTTTAAATCATTTGTAAATTTTGTACAAGATGGGAAATACTAATAGCAACAACAGCTTGAATTTATCCAGCATTGCTGACATTGCGAAACGTCCTAAGATGCTTTACAGGAGTTTTAAACAAAACTTGACACTGAACCATTCAAGTAAATATGAGAGCAGATAAATAGAAGATTGGAGGCAAGTTTTATAGAACACTTTAAAGGAGGAAAATGAAGGGAAGCACGATTTGGGTTGGAATTCAAGGGATTTGGTACCTGAAAGTGCTGCTACTAATGACAAGAGTAGATTGGAGGTTTACAAGAGGCCAGGGTTGAGAACAGGAATTGAGGGTTTAAGAGTTTGGAAGAAATTTCAGAAACAGGAGATTTGCGAAAAAAAGGGTAAGGATTTTAAAATTGAGATATTGCTTACTCGTCCAAATTAGAACATGGACAACAGAGTTTTGGATGATGTCAAGTGTACAGAAGGAAGAAGATGGTCCAGCATCATCCATTGCAATCATAGTATAAATGAAGGTTTCGGTAGCAGATGAGGTGATCTGGGGCACAGTCAGGCACTGTTACAGAGTGGAAAGCAACTATCTTAATGGTGGTGTAGATATAGAAAGAAACAACTCGAGATTGCTGTCATATTCTGGGGAAACTTCCTAGGGTGGATATGGATGGGGCAATTTTTGGGCCTCCAGCTGACAGAAGCCCAACAATTTGCTGACAGTGGATCAACCTCCTTCCATGTAGAAGGCTAGCGGCTTTGTGGAAGCAGGGGGTGGGGGAGTGGGAGGCATAAAAAGCAGCCTTGTAGTCCCAACCCTCACCTACAGAGGTTCTCCATTTACCCTGCAAGGTTCCCTGACCTCATCTGCTTACATGTTACCTTTTACTGAGCTGTCAAAGGATACCTCTGTGTTGAGGCTCTTGGAGGTCTTTGACTTAGCTTAGCTGTACTTATGTCTCCCACTAGGGCTGCTGAGGCTTCACAGTTGCCAGCTTTCTGAACGGTAGACCAGAGGTAGCCAATTAGGAAAATCGCCAAACTGGTCTCACTGCCAGCAAGTGTGCATTCTGGACCTGCTTTCCTGTCTGAGGTCAGGGCAAAAGCATATAGTAAAGCACAGCCCATTGACTTCTAGCTTCCCAATAGAGTGTTGGAGTAAATTTTTGCTCATCCAGTACTGGATACTGGATAGGCAGTCTGATAAACTGCAGAAAGATAATGGCTGAGAAGGGTGGTGGTAAGGAGAAGCATACACGTGGAAACTGATGCTGTGTTTTTGGCTGAGAATGCCAAGGGCTGCATTGGGATGAGAAAAAGAAGGGATCAGACTCCAAAGGAGAAGTGGCAGGCGGGAGTCACCCAAGCTATCGGTGTAGGTGATTGACTTCAACTGGCTAGATATGAATGGAACCAGATGAAAGTAGTTCCATCTTGGTGGACAACAGTGCAGACATGCTGGAAGAAAGTGGTGTGGTCAATGGCAAAGATTGCAGACAGATTGAGAAGGATAAGGGTACCTCTGTCACAGTCACTGACACAAACAAACAAAAATATGCTACCTCATATGTCTTTAATTTATCCTTCAGGAGACGCATAAACAAGTTCAATCGATGTCATGACTTGTGGAAACTTTTTTTATCTCTTTGCTGGTGCCCAGTGTTTTTTAAAAAAAGTGAATTATATGCTTATTTTGCTTACAGCCACTTGCTGAAAGATAGAACTGGAGTCAAGTTTTTATATATGCAGTATGTGCAAGCTTTTATTTACAGAGCCACACTATATATTGTGTACCCAACAACCACAGTTTCAACCTACTCCTAGCTATTCCTGCAATTGAGTTCTCTAATTAATGACCATCACTTGAACTAAATAGTCAATTGATAAACAATTAAAAGCAGACCAATAAAATGTTTCTCATATTTCCCTTATACATGATTACCTCTCAACCCTTTATTGACTTGCACATCACGTTCTATAAATGTCTTTTATTTCCCAAATTTCTCTCATCACACTTGTTTAACTATCTCCCATTTTCCATTTAAGTACTATTACTCTATTCCTTTCCCTGTGTATTCCGCATGCTTTACTCATTCCTCTTTATTTTGTCCTATTGATCTACAAGATCTTTGCGTTCTTATGAAGGATGTATTTTTTTTCCTCCTCCTATCTGCCAAATCCATAAAATGTCTTGTTAACTGATTCCCTCAGATAGCGTTGTATCCGCTGAGTGTTTTTAGCACTTTGTGGTTCTGTTGGAGATTTTCAGAATTCTTCATAATTCAGCAAATATTACTTAAACAGCAAATTTGCATTTTCAAAGGATCAAAGTGAAAACATTAGTGAATGCAGAACACAGACAATGGCAAGATCAATCTGATTTAACTACCACAAGGGGAGCTATTCAGTAACAGAATCAAATTCCATTAATTTTATTAAATATAGTCAATGCTCACCAATACATTCCAGCTTCTTTTGTGGACAGTATTCTTTGGTTATTAACCTTAACTCCTGTACCGCCACTTCATAAGGGTAGGAATCATCTGAAGCAGATTCCTCGGGGAAAAGCTTAGCTGGAACACCAATATCTGCTGGGATGGCATTCTTGTACAATTTCATGCTCTTTTCAAGAGCTATTTCCCTCTGTACATTCACTTTTCTGAAAGAAAACAGTGAATACACATTTATCAACTGTGAATGCTGAATCTCTTTTGTTTCTCACATCAGTCAAGGAAGGAAGCCAATGTATTTTGAGCTTTGTCTGATTCAAACACAATGACTTGGGTGTTAATAGGAAATCCAGAACTTCATGTTTTCTCTCATGCAGTGTAGTTTTAACTTCAAAAGCATGCAATATCTTTCGCTTGGCAGGATCTCTGCACAGCAGTCCAACTGACTGATTGATGTGGCTTCTCTGCAGGCGGGGAGGAATCCACAGTACGCCACAGGAGCCAGTCTGTCTTGTCTATAACCTGGGGGGCTGAGGTAAGGGTAGGTGGCAGTGGAGCACAAGTGACGTAGATGCACCCAAATTCAACCCAAAGCTATGCTTCTATCCATCCCTTACGTTTCCTGATTTCCAAGAACCTGGATGTCCTATGTTACACCTGCAAAGCAATTTAAGTCAAATATTTAAGCTACCAACCCGCTTCCTTGTCCAGTTTTTGTTAAATCCAGGTTGAAGTCAGGTCTGAGACTTTGAAAATTTTAACACCTGACATTGAATAGAAGTTAAAATTCTCCCTTACACGTTTTTTTTGATATTTTTGGAACATCTCGAACTAAGCAGATCAAAATGACAGCGAGTGCCATTTCTTAGTGACCAAAATGTAGCAGTATACAGCACCCACAGAATTTGAGATTCATAAGCAATTTCATTTGGAATTCAAAGGAGAGTTTAGTCCATTAGACACTTCTCATAACAGTAAGTCAATTAGACTGGAGTTGAACAAGCGGCACACTGTTGTTCCGATGTGTACTGTCTACAACCTGAAATGCAGCAACCCGCCAAGGCTGCTTTGCCAGCACCTACCAAGCATGCCAACGTCATAACTAGGATGACAAAAGGTGCCGGCTAAACAGAGGCCTGCAGTTGGGGGGTAGCAGTTGGTAAGGCATCCAGTATTATGGCAAGATCCAGGCCTCAGATAAGTGAGGGCAGGATGTGGGGCAATGTGGGATAAGAAGGTGGGGGAAGATCAGGAGCCGGAGAGGAGTTTGGTTCTCCGTGGGGCCTCCTCTTCCCAAGGCCAGCTGCTTTGATCATGCTCTTAGTGTATATGTTACTTTGATTGGTTGAAAAATAATCACAAAATCATTCTTCAACTTCTACAGCAAGCATTAGTACATGGTATTTTAACAAGGAACAATTTTGTTACCACATTCAACTCTACTTTCAAACTAAAAAAAATGCTGTTGACTGCAAATATAACTTTTCTCCACCAAATTAAAAATTCAGATATCCATTCCTTGTAAAATTTATATGTAATACATTACCTAAACAGAGCCAAAAGGAACATCCAGATAGGCCGGAACAAAGCTTCCTCAATGCTGGCCAAGCACTGATCTTTTCCAGTCGGAGTGTTGAGAGGTTCAAAGGCAAGAATACACAAGGACAGTAGCCTATCTGTAACAAACAAAACAGAGACAAGAATGTTAAATAAAAATACTTCCAGCCAATCAGAAAGGACATACACTGACAACAGAGCGGGCCATTCAGCCCACTGTGTCTTGTCAGGCACAAAGATCTAATTACATTCATCTAACTTTCCAGCTCTTGATTCATAACCGTGGAGGTTATAGTAACACAAGTGAATATCTAACTGCTACTTAAATGTGGCAAGAGTTACAATATCTGGTTAACGTGCAATTCCAAATATTCTAATTTGCTTATTCATAGTACGATTACAAAGTACATGGTAGAACCCGTAAACAAAAAACAACAATTAATTGACCCCTAAATGAAAAAAACTGCCAACAAGCTTTCAGCTTTCGCAGCACTTATTTTAACATGAATCAGAAGCAACACAAATTAAACAGAAATGAACAGGCAAATCAAGTAAGATAAACTTTATATAGTCAATAAAACAAAGATACATCTTACACAACAAAAATATCTGCATTACCTGCTGTTGATATGCACCACTATGCAGCTACACTATTCACATTTCTTTACTCACACAGGGTGGCTAAAAGTCAGATTTGACAACAGCTTTCATCAGTTTCATAGCTATGATCGTCATCATCAAGACACACACATTTGTGAATCCTTACCCTCCCTTGAGTTACGACGATGCAGAGGTACCGGTGTTGGACTGAGTTGGACAAGGTCAAAATCACACGACACCAGGTTATAGTCCAGCAGGTTTATTTGAAAACAAAGCTTTTGGAGCATTGCTCCTTCCTCCGGTGTAGTGAAAGAAAGACACAGAATTTACAAGGAAATTATCAAACGATCAGACAACTGATGCGAAGGTATTGAATAAACCTAAAATGGCTGGCTGACTCCCTCCTGTTAAATCTTTAATCAGTTAGAAAGGAGATGCAGGTTTTGATTGATTAAAATGCAAATCCCAGAAATTCTTTGAAGTCATTGCCGCGAGATAACTAAAGGTTTTAGTAGTGTATACAAGAGGTGACATCTCGGGTCAGACAATGCATTTTAGGTGTGAGGCCTTGTTTAGAATCTGTCTGTGTTTTAACCTGGAGTCAGGCTGGCTTTAATCAGCTTGCACACAAGATACAGCAGAAAATTACGAGACACTGCTAAGCAGACGAGGCAACGGAACTACACCACCTATATGCACATCAAGAACAAGAAACTTGAGAAGCTTGGCATCACCAACAGTAATCAAGTCTCCCCAGTATCACAGTTGAAATGGTACCACCAGGGGGAAATTCATTGTCAACCTATCTGACCACACCCTTCCAATGGACAAAATCGAAGTTCTCAGCCGAGGACTCAATTTCTGCCCCACCACCAAAATGGACCCCACTGGTCTTGCAGCAGACACAGAGGAATTCATCAGATGAATGAGACTCCAGGAATTCTTCCAAGATGTCAGCAGCGAGCCCAATGAGACAACCAATGAACTGGAGCAGTTGACAGAGAGATCCATGGTGGAGCAACCAAAGAAGGAGCTGAATTGGACCCCTGTGGAAGGCCACTGCCCTAGTGTCGACATGTATGCTCAAACCATCAGGAAATGCGTGAACGCCAGATTCATCAGCCACACTCACGAGGTAGCGCAAAACGTTACCCAGGCACAACGCACTGCCATCCGTGCTCTCAAGACCAATCACAACATTGTCATCAAATCAGCAAACAAAAGAGGAGACATCGTCATAAAGCATAGAACAGACTACTGCAAAGAAGTGTATCGATAGCTGAACAACCAGGAACACAACAGACAACTACCTGCAGATCCAACCAAAGAACACACCCGTGAACTCAACAGACTGATCAAGACTTTTGATCCAGACCTTCAGAATACCCTATGCACTCTCATCCCACATACTTCTCACATAGGGGACTTCTACTGCCTTCCGAAGATGCACAAAACTAACACACCCGGACGTCCCATCATGTCAGGCAATGGGACCCTGTGCAAGAACTCTCTGGCTATGTCGAGGGGGCATCTTGAAACCCATTGTACAAAGAACCCCCAACTTCTGTCACGACACTACAGATTTCCTACAGAAACTCAGCACCCATGGACCAGTCGAAGGAGGATTCCTCGTCACAATGGCACTTTCGGCACTCTACACCAGCATCGCCGCAACAGTCTCAGTACTGAATACCAGCATCTGCCAATTTCGAGACGCCATCCTACAACTCATTCGCTTCATCCTCAACAACAACGTCTTCACCTTCGACAACCAGTTCTTCATCCAGACACATGAAACAGCCATGGGGATCAGATTCATACCCAATATGCCAACATTTTCATGCACATGTTTGAACAAGACTATATTGCTGCGCAGGACCTCTGACCAATGCCATACACCAGATACATTGACAACATTTTCTTCCTTTGGACTCCTGGTGAGGAATTACTGAAACAACTACATAGCGATTTCAACAAGTTTCATCCCACCATCAGACTTACCACAGACTATGCTTTAGAATCAGTCTCATTCTTGGACACATGCATCTCCATCAAGGACAAACACCTCAACAGCTCAGTCTACTGCAAGCTCACAGATAACCTCACAATGCCACAGTTCTCAAGCTTCCACCCTAAACATATTAAAAAAGCCATCCCCTACGGACAAGCCCTATGCATACACAGGATCTCATCAGATGTGGAGGAACACAACGGACACCTGAAGGTGTTGAAGGTCGCCCTCATGAGAATGGGATACGATGCTTGACTCATGGTTTGCCAGTTCTGATGAGCCACAGCGAAAAACCATAAGACGTCCTCAGAAGACACAGGATACGATCGATAGGGTATCTTTTGTTGTCAAGTACTTCCTGGGAGCGGAGAAACTATACCAAGTTCTTTGCAGCCTTCAACACATTATCGGTGACAATGAGCATCTCACCAAGATCTTCCCCACGCCTCCACGTCGCGCCTCCAAATACTCACCAAACCTTAAACAGACCATTGTTCAAAGCAAACTACCCAGCCTTAAGGACAACATCGACCACAATACCGCACAACCCTGTAATGGCAACCTCTGCAAGACATGTCAGATCGTCGACATGGGCACTACCATCACATGTGGGAACACCACCCAACACGCGCATTGGCAGATACTCATGTGACTCAGCTAATGTTGTCTATTTCATACGCTGCAGGCAAGGATGTCACGGGACAGGGTACATTAACAAAACCATACATATGCTGCGATAACAGATGAATGGACACTGCGCAACAATCGTCAGACAGTGGGAGAAGACTTCAGCAGTCAAGGACATTTGGCTTTGGACCTTTAGGTAAACATCATGCAAGGTGGACTTCAGGATACACAACAGAGCAGAGTCACCGAGCAGAGGCTTGCAGCCAACTTTGGTGCCAATGAGGACGGCCTCAACCATAATCTTAGGTTCATGTCGCTGGACAGGTGACCCCGCCGCCCGCACACATTTTCTTTTTCTCTCACACAGAAACATTCACACACACACACACACACACTCTCACGCGCACATGCACGCGCACACACACAAACGCGCACGCACACAAACATGCACGCACACAAACATGCACGCACACACACATGCTCTCACACACACAAACGCGCGCACACACACACACACAAACAAACAAACATGCTCTCACACACACAAACGCGCGCACACACACACAAACATGCTCTCACACACACAAACGCGCGCGCACACACACAAACATGCTCTCACACACACAAACATGCTCTCACAGACACAAACATGCTCTCACAGACACACACACAAACATGCTCTCAGACACACACACGCACACATGCGCGCACAAACATGCTCTCACACACACGCACACATGCGCGCACAAACATGCTCTCACACAGACGCTCAAACACGCTCACACACACACATGCAAACATGCTCACACACACACGCTCA